CCCCAAAACCCCAAAACCCCAAAACCCCAAAACCCCTTCTATAATAAAAAATTGAAATCATGGCTTATATAATTTAATAAAAATGCAGATGATTGCATTAAGATGAGGAAGAAGGGCACAGCCCTTCTTCAGATCTTTCGGGATGTTCACCTCGAAATCCGCTGGAGAAGCCTCTAATACTCTATGAATCATTCCTAAGTGCAACTTCTCCTTTGATTGGGGTCGCAACAGATCGAGAGATAAAGTGAGATTCACTGAATTCGGAAGTCTTGAGGAAGAAATTAACTCAAGATTTGACGTTGAACATAACATTCCAATCCATAGAGACTCACGTCGCTGCGGAGCCATTGGATACAAGGTAGGAATGACCCAAATTTGGGATAAATGGGGTCTCCGGATTCCATGCACTGTCATCCAGATTGATAGATGCCAAGTTATTCAAATCAAGGAGAGTATTGATGGGAAACTAAGACATAACATTCAGGTTGGAGCTGGAGAAGGCAATATTAAGAAAATCAAAAAGTCTCTATTAGGCCACTACTTAAACGCAGGAGTTCCGATTAAGAAACATTTAGCTGAATTCGAAGTGACAAGAGATAACTTCCTCCCTGTTGGCTACATGATTGGACCGTCTTACTTCAAAGTTGGGAATTATATTGATATCAAGGGAACTTCCAAAGGTAAAGGTACCCAAGGAACTATCAAAAGATGGAATTTCAGCCACCAGTACTTTACACATGGAAATTCAAAAGCTCACAGAGCACCAGGAGCCTTGCAGGGATGTGAGTTCCCAGGAAAAGTTTTCAAGGGGAAGAAAATGGCTGGTAGAATGGGTAATCAATCCTCCACCCAATTCAGCTGCAAAGTTATGAGAGTAGACACCCCAAGGTCTCTTCTTTATGTTAGAGGATCAATTCCAGGAGCTAATGGAAGCATGGTAACAATCAGAGATGGTTTGAAGAAAATGGATAAGCAAGTGAGACAGGTTAATGAGATCAGAACTGGAGTTGATACCTACCCAGGTGATGAAGAAGATCCATATGAAGTCTACGAGAATGAGAGTTAGAGCTTTAACTTGGTGCTCATATCCAACACAAAATATTTCAGTTTTTGGAATTCTTATAGGGGTTTTGGGGTTTTGGGGTTTTGGGGTTTTGGGG